CCATCGATCCATGTTGCAGAATACACTTTTGCGAATCCTCCTTCACCAATTTCTTTCATATCTGTGAATCTATCAAATGGCACCCATTGAAGAAATGTTGGATGTTGAAATGTTTCATATTTTTTTGTATTCGTATTTGCATTATTCATTGTATCTTTGATGAAATTATCCATATCAGAATTTTCACTAGTCCATCCTACACAAGGGTCACATTCTTTACACCATAATGTCTCAGTAATTGGTTTACCACAATAAGAACATTTATTATTTTCTGAGACATTTAATTTGTTGAATTTAGATTCTATTAAGTCTTGAACTTCATTTACATCCATTATTTTTTTTTTAAAAGAAGAAAAAAATTTTTTCTGTAATTTATATAAAAGGAATTATCATGACCAAATTTGGATCAACGGAAAATATTTTCCGAAATCAAAATCAAATGATCACATACTGCGCTAATTATTAATTTTGGACAAGCTCTATAACTTTTATAACTTTAGCTATTTAATATACCAAATTTTAGTTTAAAGTATTCATACATAATATCATATGTATGTTTCAAACCATTTGTTGTTCTATACCTTACATACTTTTTTTCTTCAATAATACTTTATAAATTAACTAACCTTATAATCGAAAGTTTAGTAACCAGCCAAAATAGATAAAATCGAGCTTTTAAAATAATTTCCTAATTTAGTCTGTCAGTTTCAAAATACAAAATATACTATCTCATTTGCTTTTTTGTTAAGTACAAAAATTCGAACTAAAATCTCACTATTGTATTATCTTTTAAACTTTGAGCTAGTTAAGTATGTTGAATCTATAAACAAGGTATTTTCAATGTTTTAAAATATTTTATATTACATAAAAAACGTTTTAAAGACGAATTTCAAGACCATTTCCTAAAAATGAATATTTAAACATTTGATTAAATAAAAATTTTTTATAATTAGATAATTTTCATTATTCTAAACTTTACTAACTCGCGATGAGACTATTTATGCTGATTTGAATATGCTGTATATAGGCGGTTTTTTTTTAGTATTTTGTATATATTTTGTATTATGCAAATATGTTTTGTGTTACTCAAATATAAATAAATCTTGCTTGTATTAATCAAGACAAAATTGTTAAATCTAACTTCCGCCACTTTTTTAAACAAAATCTAATCTGATATACTGCATCTATTAAATAAGAAGTACATACTTACTAGAAATGCAGCCTATAAGTCTCGGTATTAATAAGCAATTGTTTGCTGTGTAATCTTAAAAAACTTCCAAAGTTCCTAATAATAAAAAAAGTTTATAAATCAATAACAAAAAGATTGATTATGTTTGGCAATTTATTTGGAAAAATATTTTTTTTTAAAAATTATTTTGTAAAATCGGGCGCAAAGAGAAAATACTTGCCGAATTGGAATATATAAACGAAAAATCAAGCACCATCTCGAAACTTAACTTATTCATGTTATTCCATATCATTTGTAGAATTTAATTAATCGTTCATTAGCATTCGTGCCCAGAAGTATGATAGCTAAGTTTATCTTCTTTATGATTATTTCGAAAATAAAATGTGAGAAGACATGGTGGTATCTATATAATTCCAAATTCGTTGAGATTGTTATTTCGAGATAAATGTGAAGGAAAAGACACGTTTGCATTACTTCTATACAAGATAATTATTATGTTCTCGGAATAATGAAAAGAAATTATATTAGCTATGTGTTTTACAACAAAGTATAACCGACATACCTTAGATCGCGGGTTACAAAAAATGGTTTAAATTTAAAATTTACTATTTATACAAATACCTTTATTAGAATATAAAATATAGTAAAGGTGAAATCAACTAAATGTTAAAGTTTTAAAAAAAAAAGTTATAAATTTTTTTTTTTTGATTTTTTAAATCGTCATGTAAAAGAATAACTGTTTAAAAAAAATTTTAGGGTCTAAATTGATTTATATCTTATTTGAAGTTGGAATTCAGATAGCAAAAAATGTATCTGAAATTGAAAATTCCAAATGATCTTTGGATTTCAATTTCAGACACCCAAAAGTAAATCAATTTCAGTTAAATCATTAAATGATTTTGTCGAGTTTGTTAATACTATCGACCTCTATTTCTTTGTCGTGGTAGCGGACGGGATAGCAATGTTTCATTAATTTCTACAGCTAAAATTGCTGCAAAAAAAAGCCATAACTCTAAGAAATGAATACTTTAATGGTAAAAGAATATAAAAAACCCATTTAAAGTAAAAAAAATTAGCAAGAATACTAAATAAGAAAAGCAAGAGCATAAATAATATTTTGCAATTAATACATATCCGAATCCAAAAGAGTTAAAGAAAGCAAAAGCCTAAACCTAGCCAAAAATTGAAAAAAACTTTAAAATTTTTTTCGAAAAGTATCAATGAAGGATATAGAAACCTTACTGCGGAATTTCGCAAATCCAGCATAGCAACTTTCGAAAAAAATTCCATCGTTACGACCTCATAACCTTTACATAAGTTTTCTTTTTTTATTACCTTTTTTTAGACAATTTCTTTGTTCATTTTACGGCCTTTTCTTTAGATTCCTATTTAGATTGGATAGTTAACTCAAGTACCAGTAAATACCATATAATATACGTTATATTTTTATTTTATTGCTTCAATAAAAAAAAAAATTTTTTGATTATTTCATTAAATTATTTTCGTTTATTAGGCAAATCTTTTGTGTAACGAAATTAGAAAATTGGAAGTCCACACACATACTTGACAAATTCATCATGAAAGGATAACAATATCAACCGAAGTTATATATAATTGAATTCTCTTCTAAACTATCGTAAAGTTTGAGTTAAATCTTGCCGCTACTCAATTGATTATGTGTTTCAGCCGCCTAATCAATAATTGGGTAGCATTTCGATGTAAATTTTTTTTTTAAATAAATGATAAATGCCCAAATAACGCATTGTATCAACTTTTCACCTTTAAAAACTATTGGATAGTGGATATATGTCAAAGTCCGATATAATGACGCAACATTCATTACGTACAAACTCCCAAACCTTAGAATATATATGATAAAATTATTAATACTCAATCTATATTTTGCGCTCGTCTCTTACTTCAACAATGCCAATTTTTTTTTTACCCGAGTCTTGTTTCGGAGTATTAACAAAAACGTTATAAAAGTATTTTTATTTTTTTTTTAAAAAAAAATTTAATTAGTCAATATATATGATTTTGAAAAAATTAAAAATAAAATATGGAATAATGAAAAATCACATACCCTCACCAATGCCTTCAGATAAGTCTGTCAAATATAGTGACATTCTAACTTTTTACTCCTGGTCAGAAATAGGAAGCGTTAAACCGATCTTAAAAGAACTCCATTTATTTTCTTAGAAACTAGCAGTGACAGCTTCTATTTTAGATATTTCTCTAGAAACTGACCATATATGATACCATCATTACTTACGATAATATTCTAAAGAATTCGGGCATGAGTATTATTCTTTTTTTTTGCTCGAATATTGCACTTATACTTTTGACTTTAGTTGTCTAAACTTTATCACCTTTAAGAATTTACTGAATTGCGGTTTACCTGCTTAAGACTTCGTCTTTTCAAAGACTGTAGATGATAGAACGGAGACGATAACTTCACGTACTTTCTCAACAGTGTAGGCTTTTTTAATAGCCGTTACAGTTGTCGAATGGCCAAAGTTGGTAAACCATACATAACTTCTTTTAAGAAAATTTGCAAAGGGTGATGGAGAAATTATATTTTGTTATATATGTTATATATTGGGATTCTAATACACAGTGAACATATTATGATGGATAATTCTTCTATTTTAGAATCATTAAGATGCTTTATTTAAAAATCTAACACTTTAATTTTTTTAAAAAAAAAAATTTTAACGGCTGAGTTTGTATTATCACTTGATGACTCAAAAACATGCAAGAATTATGTAAGCTCCAAATCAAAGCATCAAAGATTATCTCAAGAGATCAATCTAAACGATCGAAAAGTCTGATGGAAGAATCTCAATTATATGTTTCGTATTTAAATAAGGATTTCAATATTTATGATATCGTTACTGATTTGATTCAGAGGTAAGTTTATATAGTTTATATTTACCCATCTATTCATAAGAAAAAAACATAATTCTTTTCAATATTATTAGACAAGAAAACAGCTATGAAACTATCCATAACTCAGATTTCATCACAAAGAAGCAGAAATAAAGAAATAATTTTTTCGCAAAATAAGATCGAATAGGCGGCCGATATGTTTCAACTCCAAACCGAAGCATCGAATACTAACTCAAAATTTCATACTAAACTATCGAAGTGTCAGATAGAAGAGTCTCAGCTATATATTTATTATTTAAATAAGGAGCTATTTTATTTTATTTTATTTATTTTATATACAAGAAATAAAGAAATTGGAAAGTGTTTACGATGAAGTTATACATATTTTTTTTAAGAAAAGAAAAGAAATAACCCGCGGAGAATATTAGAAAATTGATATAATATATAATATATCAGAAGGTTTTTTGAGAATACTAAAAATCATCAATCTCGAAATAAAAACCAAATTCTATCATTAAATAATAAAATGAAACAAATTTCGTGAATAAATGTTATTATCATAAAGAGATATAACACTAACGCTAATGACATAATATAAACTTATAAATAAACACAAAACCCTAGTTAATGAAATATATATATGTCGTATCGTTTTAGAGATTTATCTAATTGACATACATATTGTATTTAATGCGTAGCACTGAATGTGCACAAGAATTTTGTTGTATAGAAAGTAGATCAATCCACTACTTGGTTTTTGAAACCATTTTTTATAAATAGAGGGATAGCAGATTGATACAGCCACACGTTTGAGATAAACTAACTAAATCCATGAACTAAATTTGATACTTGTGTGAGCTAGCTGTTCGAGTCAGGAATATCGCCACGCCGAACGTATCACCTTAAGTTCCTTTCAAAATCTCCTCTCATCAGTCGTTATCAAGTATTATAGGAGGGTCTTCAGTTGCTGTAGCAATTTATGAATGTTACATCCCTTTATCATAGAAATTATAGAATCAGCAACTTCCAGGAATTCCTTGTCAAGTGCAAGTAATCGTGCACAGTTAGATTGTTCGATTCGAATTAAGAAAACAAATAATAAAATATTAAAAAGTTTTTTTCTGTTTATTTGGTTTATTAAAATTAAACAGAAGGTTTGGATTTAATTAATTTATTAATAATCGAATGTGAAGCAAAAAATGTGTCGTTATCTTTATAATTAATTTGAGACAATCAAATGAAATTATTTCATTTCTTCCTGTCTAGAACCACTTTTTATATCTTAAATTCAGCAAGGCCATTTGGAGCTCTTTTTATGTTAATAATTTTAGTGTGGCCGGAAGACTTAATGTCCAATTTATGATGTTGTTCATTTGGATTAATCAAACCCGGCAAATAATGTCTCCTATTAACTAAAATAATAATAATGTTATAATATTTCGGTATTTCCATATAAACTTGCAACACAATCATAAGTTCATTTAAATATTTACAAAAGTCGAACGCATTACATTTCTTTTCTAACAATTGTATTGATTGCTTTGAAACCTATTGATTCATTTGGTGCATAATTATTGAAAATTGCAATATTCTTACGTTGAAATTAAAAATCAACTTTACGTACAATATTAACTAATATTCAAAGTGAATATTGTTATATAATGAAATTTAATAATCATCAACGAAATAAAAAGTAATATTACTCAATATACAAAAGATTTAATTTCTTAATTACTTCAAAAACATATGAATGACTACTACATTTAATAAAAGTCTAAAGCATTCCCGATAATTATTGTCAGATAAATCTTTCAATTAATAACTACTTAGAAATCAACCATAGATTCTTTTGATTGTGTTTTTTATCAGTGCTACAAGCGTTTTTGCCCAAAACATCTAATCAGCAACCAAGTTTGGAAGTAAAATAGTTTAAACTATACCCATTATATGAAATTATTCTACAATAATAATTGCATGATTTCGTTTAATCATATTTATGGCAGTATTTGCTACGAAGCGCTATTAGATATATTAGTAATAGCCTCTCCATGAATGTGATAAGCTTTATTAATACGACTTTATCATAATCCAGCACAAGAAATTTCAACAAATCGAATATGTGTAATGAATTTATTTATTTAATGTTCTTCCAAATTTCCTAGATTCATTGAGCTTTATTACTATTATTATTCACAATTCAGGAGTTTGTACGATGCTCTATTTGATTAAATAATTCCAAACATCAGTTTCTTTATCTAGTAATCATCTTTTAAATAGGTTCATTTATCTAGTGATAAATGGACTCGGGTTTGAAAGATCATTTCAAGAAATTAATCTTGTAATTTCTTACTTAAAATGGAATTAAAATCCATGTTATATTGAAGTAATTGTTTTAGGATAGATACAATAAATTATATGCAATTAACTATCCCAAGTCGATTTTTTTTTTTATAAAACATTTTTATATATGTATATAAAATTTGATATATAATTTATTTTAAAAAACGATTGTGGCGATCATTTCATTATTCCTTTGTGTTATCAAATTGGACGAAAAGGCACTTTTGAAATATACTGAATGGTCTCAAACATTTCGCTTTTACCATTTTTAAACTACAACAGTAAGAATCATCGGCATCTTTGATGAAGCAAGCCTTTTAAAAGAACTATATGGAGTATTGAAGCCATTTCGATCGAAGAACATTTCTCTTATTATAAATCTTTCATCGTTCACAAATTGGAAAACTATGCTAATATGAATTTGTTAAAAAATTTTTATTGGTTCACTTGATTCAGTCATGTGCACAAATTAGCTAAGCCAAAATTAGATAAAAATTCCAGTTTCCTGAAACACACCCAATACCAATAAAATTTTCCATTTAATTATGATTTTTATCAATAAAGTTGAATATAAGATTATTTTTCATTCTTTGTACACAAACTAAAATACAAAAAAATATTTAAATATTTTACGCAAAGATTATTCATTTTTTTTTTTAAAAAAAAAAAAGAAAAAAATATTAATATAATTAATTGCCTTAATAGTATAAGAATTTTTTTTTTTAAAAAAAAAATCGGTTCAGTTTTACGGCAAAGTTTAGCAAACGAAATAATTTAATAATGTATTACCAAAATAAACACACAAGAGGTAAAATAATGGAACGCGAAAAAATTTAAATAATCGAAGTTTCTTCATAAATTATTTACAACCAATAAAATTTTTTTATGAAGGTTATAAGAATTGTATTTCTAAACGTTTGGAATGGGTGTATATTTATGAACTATACAATAAATTATGTAGGCGGAATGAAACATATTCGTTTTCCAATTGGATAATGATTCTTGGGATCATAGATCCCATTCTCGTGATCGCCGTTCTCTGGATAGTAGCTCCTGTTCCCGGGATGAAAGAAGGTGTCGCCGCAGAAGGAGAATTGTTTCTCCACGTATGAATTTTAACATCGTTTTCATAACTATTTAAAAAAAATTTAATATATTTAACAGACTTCATATGGGTCATTTGCTATTAAAATAGGGACGGTATCAGTTCAAAATGAGACTTGAGACGGTTCTGAAACTGGTTCTAAATTCAGCAGATCCCAAATCTCCTGAGTTTTGTAACTAATTTTAACAAATATCTCTGAAAACGACCTCAATTCAGTTTGTCATCAAAATTATGACGGTCACAAACAATTAATCGTTTGATGACCAATTAAATTTTTTTCTAATTGATCTCTACCTAGCTCATATTTTAAATGAGAGCCGAAGCGGAGCCTAACCATGATATCGGCAATTGAGTAGAGTGGTAATAAATAATAATTTCATGGTTATTAACATAATTAAATACCAACTCTAACTTATAATTAAACTTTTCATTAGAATTCATCAATTTTTATATTTCTCTAAAATTAAAATGAGTGAAATCAAATAAAATACATAACTTAACACTGTCCGTTAGCTTAAAACTTCTGGAAATAGAAGGCAATTTTTTTTATCAGAAAGAATCCTCATACTCAAATGCAGAAAAAGCAACGAAATATTGTCCTGATTATTTCGAAAAGATATAATTGATGATGAACTAAATATAAAGCATTATCAAAAGCTGTTGATAAATATGTTTAACGTCATTCTGATATTTTGATTAGTATATATTATTTTGAGTCATTAATACTTATAAAAATAAATCATACATATTTAAACAAAATCTTTATAATATTTAAAACTATGCAATGTTAAATAAACACATTGATAAATAATTTCAGTACAATTTTCCAACGTTATATCCTAAAAGTCTGGAGTTTTTAAAAAATTTAAGCAATTCAAAACTCTCTTTTTTTTTAAAACGAAACAATTCACTCCAAAAAATATTATTGCTTATAATAATAATTGCTAAATGTTTTGCGCCATGGCGTGTCGTAATGTTCTTGAATAACAGGTAAGTGATGGGCATACTTATCCTTGACGTCATTTAAATATGGTTAAAACCTTCTTTAATTGAAGATTTAAACGATTAAATTGGCGCTGTTATTAGATTATCTGTAGGTTATAAAATAGCCTTAACAGGTTTAAAGTATTATTAAGCATGTCATTTAGAAATTTTGTTTTACAAACTGTATAAGGATTGTCATATTAATTAAAAGTCATTGCATTTTTTTTTTAGCAATCAATGAATATTATTTTATTTTTTTTTACGTTATCGTTATTTATATAGTCTATAATAGGGTCTCCGTTTAAAACAGACAGGATGCTCAAATATTTATTTGTCAAATAAATAAAAACTAAATGTTCGGATCTAAGCAATCGAAGGAATGAATAAAATTAATGAAGAAGGAACCTCCGAAGGAACGCCTCTCGAGACATGTATCCTGCGATGCAAAATTTGCCAAGAATTTCATTTAAGTGAAATTTCTGCATCAATTTTTTACTTCTCGTATATAATAATTCTTTAAAAATTCATTTCTTTTATCAAAAAAAAATATAACTAATGTTTTAAGAAATTAAAAAAAAATTGGCTTACCTTTATTGGTTGATAAATTATTGTAAGCTTTCAAGTTCTATTTGATATCGTATCCAAGTAAGCGAATACATACAATTGGAAATTTATAACCTATTCTGATTAAGAATCAATTATGATTTTATACAGTATACAAATC